ACATAGAGAGAGAGGGAGAGAGAGAGAGAGAGAGAGAATAAGTTCATTCAAGACAAGTAGCACGATCTTGTAAAAATAATATCACTTAAATTGTTATTGTTAAAGCAGATTGCGATTAAGTTTAAGCGAGTATATTAAAGTCATTCAAATGATAATAAGCTGCTTACGTTTCTAGGAAATGCAAAGGCAACTATGTTTATTATGTCATGTATACACTGAAAATTATATTCATAGAGGTGGAAGGTATTCATGTTGCTTGAAATTTTTTCCAGATCTCTCAGTTTAACATTCTCAGCAAAGACCAACGCCTACATTTGGTAAGCATACTTCTCATATAAAACTTAAACTTATATTGACGCTCATAAAATTCATCCAATAGAAGACACCAGGTACGATTCATTTGACAGTATAATAAGCTGTGATTGCATGCAAGGTATGATCTTTTCTAAAAAAAAATATAAAATGCAAAGCAATTTATGACAACAAAAATCTAGAATTCAGTATGACCGCCTACCATTCAAAAAACAGAATTTTAGTGGGTAAAGTAGAACGTTAGGTCTTATCGGTCAGACCTGGTAGAATTCGATTTAAAGCCAACCAGAAGTCTTTACGAAGCTCAGCTCACCGGAAAATCTGGAATAAGCCGATTCATTGAGTAGTCGAAAGCCGTATGGCTGATCTCACAAACAGTGATCCATGATCGTTTCATAACATTTTATAGAGTTCGTCAATAAAGTTTTCTAGATATAATTAGTTCGCTTCTGAAAAATAAGCACGGCGGCATGCACTTAGCTCTTACTATACGTACACGAATAGAAACATTCTGGCCGCAGCGCCAGTATTTGCAATAAAAATAGAAAAAAAAAAAACAGGATTCTTTTCGGCGATAAATCTTTGCATCAAGTGTGGATATCCTCCAGTGTCCTTCATGCTTGAGGCGCTGAAGAGAGTTAATCGGCAACAAGCTCCCTTAACTTCAACGCGTGTCGAAGGCATCTGTCTAATTGTTATGTTAACGTAAACTAACTATCGTGACTTGCTCGTTTGCAATAAATTTGGAGGTTTTTTTTTAGCTATTGCTCGGTAGAAATTCGAAGGAAGAAATTTATTGAATTTATCGTAAAGGCCAAACTGATTGGCGGATATCGTCAAGTTGAACCCTCCATTAATGTTTATAATCTTGTGTAGGATACACCCTGCATGGTAACATTTGATAATGACACTTCTAGTCATACTTAGAACGTAGACCTGTATGGTTTGACCGAGGCGATGCTAAGCTCTCCATCGATGGTACATACTTCGATGGCTGGCATATTTCTTTACAACGGAGATATCTAATGAAAGCTTATGTGACTTCTATTACTAAATTATGCACCCTGTATTTTTGAAAAAAAACATACATTATGTCCCCTAAGAGTATTCGACTACTCTGTATTCAAGATTATATTTGCCTGAATGAATAAGTTGAAGATCGTTTGTCAACGAGATCAAATTTTCCACAAAATATTCAACAAATAGTAATGAAATACTATAATTTCGTAAAAAACAAAACTGACGAAAGAGATTAAACAACATAGCTTTTAAAGGGTGGCGTGGTCTGGATAGCCCTTATTGATCCCTTTCAGTACGGCATGGCAATCATGAGCATACGGCCATAGTTGGCCCAAATTTTAGCGTTGGAAAATGTTCACTATCGTATCTGTTGCTAAGTCTTTTCATGAGTATGCTAGAAAAAAAAAATAACTATACCCAGGAAGACTCGCTGCTCGTAGCTAAAAATATTTAGTTTTTAAAACGTGCTAAAAACATCTGCTTAATACAGTACACGATCCAAACGTAAAGAAAAATGTTGCGGAACAGTTCATATTAAACGGTTAAAGCAATTAAACGGTTGAACGGTTAAAGCAAATCATTGCATCAATTCTGAAGCGAATCCACGCGATTAGTGAACCATTAGTTCAACTAAGAAAATGGGCGCTTCAGGCTTTTTGATACAGCAAAAAAAATTTAGCGATGAAACTATCAAAAATTCAAGCTGAGTGCTCGATGGATTGCTAAATTGTAAACGGCTTTTATTTAAATTTTGCCTAAATACCAAAAACAGCATTAAGGTTTATGGAGAGAGCGGGTCACGCGGTTTTTAATAAGAAGGCTAACATTTTTTGTTCAGAATCCCTAAATCTTCTCACTTTTCTCACATGTGCTAATAATGTGATAAAAATCTACTGGCTGTAAAGGTTCGTTCTATTAAAAATATCTCAAGCTTATAAGACCTTGTCTCTCCTTGCTGGTTATTCTTCAATCCTTAGAGCACTTACCTTTGAATTTTTGATAAGTTCTAGGATTAAGAATCCTTTTTTTCCCCAGGATTTGCGTTGTGTACCACACCAACTACGAAGCACGAGACGAAGCTCCTGTACGTGTTTGAGCTACGTCACTGTTGACGTACCGTACTAAATGCGATCATTACATCAAATGAGTGGACAGATGGACAAATACTTTTCATAAGCCTTAAAAGATATGTTTTTGTATAGTGGCAAATATCTTAGGCTTGAATGTTTCTAAAATCGCTACGTATTGAATACTACTTACCTTGTCTTCCTAATCAGTTTAAGCAAATTTATCTCAAATAATGTTGGTTATTTTTCAAAAAACCTACGTCGGACGAATTTTGATTTATCAGTTAAAAGAAAAGTCGAGCAAAATTTTGCCATGTTTTTTTGTAATTACGAAGATTTAGGGTAATCGAAAAGATCCAGTCATCGCTCTTTAGTTTTGCAGGAAGCTAATTTACACTTTGGGTCCTGATGAATATTGGTGAGCTATCATGTAGAGATCATATGTACACGGTATTTACTAGGTTCGTATCGGCGGTATAGTTCAGATTTGTATTTGCATCTCGTCGACAACTTTTACAAATCGTTTTTATTAGACTATCCCTTATCAATTGTGACTATGGGCTTCGAAACGTCATTGTATAAAGTAATCCATGTTTTTTCTTGTTTTACAGACTCCCAAGTATTGGTTATGCTATATGAAATCACGAGACAAAATTGTTTGAAAATTGAAATAGACTAATCCCAATTTTCATAAGTATTAGAATTCTAATAATGATTCTAATAAGTTTAATATTATGAATCGGAAAACATGATTTAATAATATAAGTACTGGTTATCTTATGGTGTGGCTTGTAGGTTATAAATAAATCGTTTTGCTTTTTAATTTGCATATTTACAAAAACGGAAAAAATTTTACGTTCACTTTTGACTATAAAGTAATTTTCTAGCAAAGAAAAACCCTTATGCATTATTATTGGCTAAAATATTCAAATCGTTTTCTCGTGTTCTCGCTAGGCACTCTTTTCTGTTTCCCATTAAAAAATTATAATATCAACTTTCGGGAAACATTAACATACCCGTATACTACACCCCCTCATTTTAATAAAACACTGTTACGTTTGTCGCTTTGCTATTTGTTTCGATCGAAAAATCCAAGTACAGCCATTTAATAGTTTGAGATATGGAGATAAAAGCACAAACAAGGAAAAATCAAGCGTAATTTATGTTGTTTCAAGTGCTTGTCGCTCAAATATGGTGTCATTGTGAAGGTAGTGACGTTAGCAGTGGATTGCTATTTTACAGCATAAAAAGTACCATATTCAATACTGTTGTATAATCTCAAAACGAAGCGTATGCGACGTTTAGAATAGCTAACTCCGGTTTAAAGGCAGGCTGTTGTAGATATTTCTCATTGCGCTGTAAAAATCCACTGTTTAAAAATCGAGGTGGGCTTCCCAGCCTGATATGATTATTCGGATAGTTATTTTTTAGATATAGTATTCCACGAATGCCGCTCAAAGGCCAACACGGCAACACGCATATTTCAGCCTAGATCACACGCTCAAAAGAAACAAGAGGACTAGTAATACAAAGTAGCTTCACCTTTAAAGACCCGGATTTCACACAATCGTACCCGGAAAGCAAGTAAACGCTGCAAACATTTTCCTGAAGATAGGACCTTAGCTGAAAGTCAGTGAGGCCTGTTTTCGTGATGGTTTTGACAAAAAAAACTAATGGGCGACAGATGTTCAACGCTAGTAACGTTAGAAGCTAACAACTACATTTATATGAAAGCGTTTATCAAAATGGATAGTACTATAAAGAAAGGAAAAAAAAATAGGGTTTACTGGCAGAAATACAACAGTAACAATATTCGCGCCACAGATGTTGATCTAATATACTATAGATAATTTACAAGTTACATCAGTTTTATTTCCTAGAAACCAGTGGTTCCACTATACTTCATTGCTTAATTAAATTTTCTTCATTAAACAGATATGAAGGGAAAAGTACTGCAACCTCTTCTTCCGTAATCTAGTTCAGCATTTAACAAAAAATCAATATTGCAGTCGTCCATCCATTTGTGTTTATACTAAGGCTGTTATTATATGTGGCGAGTGTCCAGCGGTTGGCATTACCGATCAATATGCTTATTTTTCGCCTTGATTTGTTTTTTACTCTATATATATATATATATATATATATATATATTGAATTGTCCAAAAAGTATTGATCATCTTTTTAGCTTTAAAGTCACATATCTCAGGTAATATCAGTGATGTCGTGTTGGTGTCATTTGAAAGCTGAAATTTGACAGTAATAGACGAAATAAAATGCTTTTATCCAGACTTAAGATAGATCGACTTGAAGCTGAGTTGAATTTCTGTGAAAATTATTCTTAAAATTTGATCACGATGAACGCACAAACCCACAGTCACGATACATTATCAAAAAAAAAGTTCCATAATAATACTATCGCTTTCGCCTTAGAAATTTCGATGTGAAGGATGCTCTTCGTAGCAGCTCACCAGGAAAAAAGTTGATGAACTTAATGCGAAAGTTGAACAAGATTAATATTTGGTTAGCCATGGTGTTATCCTCAACAAACTAAGCATCTACGAGCAAACAGTTTCGAACCGTTTGAAGGAAGCTGGCTAAAAAAAGCTCGATGTTTGGGTGCTGTACGAACTGATGAAAGACATTTTACCCGAGCGCATACTAACATAGATGGAATAATAGCGAAATCGAGCCCTTTCTAAAGCGGTTGACTACGGCTAATAGAAAACGGATTATATACGACAATAATGTGCAAATAAAATAAAGGAAATTCGCTCTATAATCTATGGCAAAATTCAGACCGTCGCCAAAGGAGGTGATTCCTTGTCTTTAATAGGATTGGAAAGGAATTATGCTTTATTGGTTGTTGCCCCCTGGAAAAGCGATCCGTTGGGAACTCTACTGTCAATAAATAACAAGATTACGACGAGCCATTGAGAAAAATCGATTGGAACTTGTGGACAGAAAAGGCGCTGCCTTCTACCATAACAATGCCAGACCAGACAAATCTTCAGCTACCCAGCAAAAATTGAGAAAACTTAGTTGGTGTACCTCTATGCACCTGTTATATAGCCTGGATCTTGCACCATCGGGCTATCACTTGTTTTGGTCTCTGCAGAACCCCTTTAATTATCTTAATTTAGTTTTAGCAGAACGATGCAAAAAAGGCTTGTTACAATTTTTCGCCTAATATCTACATATGTATTATAGTAATAGAATTAGGGTGTTAGCAGAAAAGTGGTAAAATGTAATCGATTAAACGGTAACTATGTAACTTAATGATATTTTTAAATATTTGCTTCAATGATGGTTTAAAAACTGCCAGTGTCTTTTTCAACAGCTCAATATTGTAGCACAAGAACGAGAGCAACAGAAGAAACAACACTTATCAGTTGCAGTAAAAGAGCTTTCGGTAAAAGCAGTTTAGCCGAACGCCCCAGGCTGCAGTAACAACGTATTTTGCTTGCGTCAAAGTACGTGTCTGTATCCTTAGGATATATCACTTATCGAAAACTAACGAAAATTACTTTTCAAGATCTGCGATTCATACTCATAAGAAAATTAGTTGATGATAAGCCAAATTTTATGCCTACATCATTGGTAAATACTGTAGCACGATAAAAAGAAGCTAAACATTTTGATGTAAATGCGTAGTTTTTAAAAATATATCATTTTGAAAAATATTTTCCGTGATTTCTCCAGGCGTCTTCCAAAGACATTCATGTGAGGTTTTACCCTAATTTTATCAAAAATTATATGAAATATGTACACATGGTGTTCCTTTTTTACTTCAGTGGTTTGATAGCCGAACGCGATCACCAATCCGATAAGCTGTAGTTCTTGCCCGGGTGATTATCAACAAATTGTTATACGTAGAAAAAGACGTGGCAACGAACAAAAGCCGAAAAAAAAAGTTCCGGATTATCAGAACACACAACGTAGACCGTAAAAAATTCCGGATTGTCAGAGCGGGCAGAGTGGACCGTGGACGGCACCGTGATAAGTCGTATCACGGCAGCGTCGCCGTTGTTGAAGAGGCCACCGTAGCCAATCATGAAGTGGAACACGTAAATATAACACACAAGGGACACTGGCGGTTAAGTCGACACATGGAACAATCCAGCTGCTCCTTGCTCAGTTCTGAAGAAGATCATTTTTACTGTCAAGAAAAAACGAACTTCAGACAAAAATTATAGTCAGATAAATATAATAGTGTGAGGTGTCGTCAAGAACTGAGGTGACAACAAGTTGTTTAGTAATACTCTTATTAGAATTCCGTTAAACCTATTTAATCAAATTTGTCGGTGTCTCGCTGGGTAAATTACGTCGTGAATAATAGCTTCAACGCTCTTCCTGAATATACAACAAGACAGCTAAAATGCAACGCAGAGATGCTTAATGCTAGTCGCTCAAGGCAAAGTTATCCGATATATCTGCTCGTGGCCATTTTAAGAATGGGTTTCTGTATCGGTATCGGCCAGCCGTATCAGTGGAATGTGGGTAATTAGAATAACTAAGGGAACAGATGTCAGCCGCCGGCAAAGGTACAAAAATATGTCTAGCTGCCTCAACGAATCTTCGTGCTAAGCGAAAAAAAGATTCCAAACGTTTAAATCTTGTAGAAAAACAAAATTAAGTCACATATATCCGTGAAGCAATTAACTGCTCCACTGGTCTGTTCATTGCCAGTAGCAAATCATTTCCACGACATCCAATTGGCCAAATACGTATATAGCTTGAAGCGAAATAGTTAAATTAAATCGATTTGTCCGATTCGTGATCTCAGGATGAATTTCATTAAAACTGAAAATAGCTCTAACCAAGAGCTATGTTAGAAATTGAATTTTTCGCCTTTATTTTATTCAATGTCCTTGCTAGGCCCTAGTACGTTTCTAAAAGTATACTGGTTCTGACAAACGATCTTTTGGTCAGATGATTGGATAGCCTCAATACGACAATACATGCCAGTATAGTTCCTTGTGAACAGACTTTACTAGGCCCAAAAGCAGGTAAGTAGAAGCCAACAAGTGTCAGCATATACATAATGTAAATACAGAAACATACAATAAATACATTGCCCATTTTTCCCTTATCTGATTGCTATTTTACATGAAGGTCTTCTATTGAAGATTGCCTACTTATTATATTTAACGGCAAAACAAAACACGCTGCGCCAAGAGGTGCAGTGACAACAAACTAGGGAAATGGCGCTATTGAAAGAAATCGTTTTCAAAAAACCTTTACCTTGATAATATTGTAAAGTAGCTAACCGTAACAACCAGCCCGTGGCTTCCTGTGTGAATGACGGTCGAGAATTGGCCCGCGAGATTTACCATTGGATTCAGTTAAAGTTGCCATTGAATTAGAGTCAACGGACGAAGTAACGCAGGCTTAAATTATGTGATTTTTTTTCTCAGTTCCTATGCAAGGGGCGTTTCTGACTGAAGTCAGTAGGATGACAAAAAAAAGATCTTGGTGACCAACAATGTTCTCTGCCTCTCATAACGCTGCGCACGTCAGGAGAGAGCTCTGTGGTATAAGAAAAGAGTTAAGAAAATGGCAGATATAAAGGACAATGTAAAAAAAACAGCTAAAGGGTAGTCACAAGTGAAGAACAACATAGACATGAAGAGGCTTCTGCGATGAACTTTGTACCGAAGGAAGAAGCAAGGGAAATGTTGACAATAAGAGTTTTTCGGTTACTCGTTACGACAGAGCCATACTTATGGAAGCCGACTTTATGGAGAGAAAAAGCACTGTACCTCCGAGGGAAAATATACGTTCAGTCTGTGAGCAGAAAACCCCACCTACCGTAGTAAAAACAAATGGCATCTATTGACACAGTCATCCATGGAATGTCAACGTAAAAACGGTTTAAAGTGAGCAGAAAGATGGAAGTGTAGTCATCGATACGAACCAACGCGTAGCTATACCATTAAATTCCGGCAAAATGGTCTTTAAAGACGATGGATTTCTATAAACAACGTATTTGATACTCATTTGTCAGCTTAACTACATACACCAACTCAACGAATAGCTTGGAAAAATAAGAATATGGTTCTGAATTTGCTTTCCTTGCTTAGGTGGTTAAGTTATCATTATTTGGAAAATTACTCTGTTATTTTACAAATAAATTCGCACTGTAAATCGGTGTCTTCAATTGTATATATGTAGCGACATCACGCTGGAAACTTGGATTCTAAGAAGGAAAGAAGATATATCGTTCAGGACTATGACAGATGTCATTAGTTTGAATATTATTTCAACACTCTGAATTGGCCTGAAAAACAAAGTGAGTCAAAATAAACCTTATAGGCTTAGGCCAATCCCTGTGTAGATACTGCCATTTGATAACGAACACCTGACTGAAAGGCTGTTTTATGTTGTTTCAATAGTAGCAACTATCTCGCACAAACTGCGATAGTGTCGAATACATAATTCGTGTTTCTTTGTGTGTATCTTCAATTAAATAAAGTTACAACGATCATCGTTAAGGGACTGAAAAAATTTGACAAAGATTTAGATACTAGCAACGAAGAGAATTGAAATCCAGCATGTGAAAATGTGAGGATAGATATAAGAACTGAAGCTAAGAAGAAAGCTTTTGATGGTTTCTGATACGTCAGGAGAAACGGATCTCGAGTGTAGAGGAGAGTCGTTTTTTGTTGTCCTGTGATATCGTTACAGAAATTTAGAGTAAAAACGTCTTTGTAAACCAGCAACCTGAAGTGTGGGTTGTCGACACTTATCAGGCGCAAGAATCAGAGATTCGAATAGGATTGTCAAATAACGGCCTTTAGTTGTTAGGCCACGTTTTTCTCGAATCTAACACTAATCTTTTTTCCGCTTTTTATGAAAAATGATTGATACATCTTTTTATGTAAATTCATAAGAATATTATATGGCTGTATTCTATTGGAGCACTTGGCACTTATAATAAGGCAGTACATATAATGGAATATCATCGTCGTGTAAGAGCTAAGAGTAATAAGTGATGATGATAATCAATTGTGCATTAAGATAGATCTACAATGTTTTCAGCGAGCGGTGTTGGTTTATCAAGATAATATAAATTGATTTCTTGTATATAACTCACGGTCATCGGTGCTGTCTTCAACGGACTCGGGCGATTTGGACGGGAGAATCATTGAAACGGATCGAGGTGTCGGTGGAATTGACATCACTTTTGGCCCCGGACTCACTAAGCCTCCTACCTCGGGGGAGTCCGGGGGACTCACCCCGGGAGGGTCCACGCCGACAAAACTGCAACCATCGAGAAATCACACAAATTGTATGTTTAGCCAAACAGTAGTATTAGGTTCAATTAAATTATTCACTTTCAAATTTTATACTAAATATTCGATGTGTCTGTGTTGACTTTGAAGGTTTTGAGGCTTAACAACCGAAAAATATTCTCCCTGGCCACAAACATTATCATTATATTTAATCATTTGCACCTTCACGATTCTTTAAGCGTTTCAACTCCTAGCTGAGCCACGTTTGACCGAATATTAGTAAAACCATGAACTATACCCAAAGTGCAATAGGTCGAGTACTCAATGATAAAAACGACTGGCCGTATATTTTTTTTATATGCCTCTTTTCTGCATAATTAGCCGTCCCTTCCAGAAGCCAGCCTTATCGAAATAATTTGCTCCACCGCACGAGACTGAGCAAACATAGCTATGGCAATAGTTAATGAACGTGAAAAAAAAATTGCAAAACGCGCAATCTTCGATAGAATAGTGGTAGCGCGTTTGCCACAGACGGTAGGGGCATGCGAGTTGGGCGAGGTTTGAAACAGGCCTGGGCAGAGGCATTTCATGTCATTCTTGCAGTCGATCTAAATCCATGCAGAACTTCAATAAGTACCTATTGGTATCTGGTTTGTTATAACAATTCTTCGTGTATCTGATAAACTCTTTTAATTTTTGTCGAATTATTTTTGATTCTATAGAAAAATCAATTAAATAAGAACAAGTCTATTATTTAGATATGTGAAAATCTATCACGAAGCATAATTTCCTTACAGAAACAGACCCTGAACTGTAATTCGAGGCACAAAGTTACAACCAAGCTAGCGAACACGTGTGTATATGTACTTTTCGCTATCTAAGAAACATTTGTTCATCCAGTGATGTTTATATCGCCGGGTGCTACCAAGAGGAGGATTACACATTACCTGATAAGTCTTTTGTATCCAGTGATTTGTGCCATAAAATATGAGAGTAGTAGAGATCTACAGTAGCTTGCGTACCACTTAGTGTCATCAAGGATCCCTGTTATTAATCGTGACTAGCTTTAGGAGACCTCTGTATAATAGACGGTTGTACTTTATCTATGTTGACAATACGTGCCGAATTAACGTATATTCAATGTGTCATTTATGTAAGTGCTTCTAGGACTCTTATGTATGACTATGCGAAGGAAATAGTAAATCGGCTAGTAGATCTCAAAAAGTCAAGTAGTCCGATTTAATTGATAATTCATTTTTCAAAGCACCTAGAGCATCAAATAATAAAATTATTTTTGAAGTTTTGTCAAAGTTAGTTGAACAGTCTTTGCGATTTCCGATGGTGATTAACCCAACGTGGCTTTATACCTAAATATGTTAAATGTAGTGAGATACCCAAGTAACTGATTCTGATACCGGTGAATGTCGGCCTAAAAACGTGAGCTATCTTCATCTACAACTTAAACAGTTTTCGAGAAAAAACGAACTTATGCATAATCCGCATCAAGCAAGCAGCTTGTCCCTACAGCCATTGTTACACGACTTTTTCTAAAGGCAGCCATCGTTCAGTTAGCATTGACTCGAATTAAAACTTAGCAGTCCTTCAGGTCCCGAATCTTTGCTATCCCGATGCAATCTTCTTTTCTCACTCCGTATCAATAAACCCACTGCATTGTCCTACCAATACCTTGTAGCAGCAATTAAATCATGCTACAATTTTACGAATTTTGTCATTTCGTGGCGTTTACTTTTATCTAGCTGAAAGAATACACTTATTATGCATTAGGAAAATTCAAATGCAGTGTTTAGTTAATGTGGGGCAGGTATTGTACAACTATGTTCTAGTCGAGGCCCCACCCGGTAGCATTTGCCCTACACTTTTGTGTCACAGACCTATCACTGTTTATTGAGTCTTCACTGTATCAGTTAGCCTATTGCAATTAGTCCGCTATCTTAAGGGGAAATGATCTTTAACTATCGATATTGCTACGAGATCTGAGTACGTAAATAGTGTGAAGAGTCTGTATTTTTTTTATGATAGTTTTGGAATAATTCTGCGCTGGGGAAACACAATGTCTGTCTTTAGGCTCAAGTTATTTTTTTTTTCTGGGTTTGGCATGTGAATTAGATCGTATGATTCGAAATTGCGTGCGTTTAGCGTAGGACGCTTTAGAGTACTATAAAAGATTGGTCGACACATAAAACGCAGTCAGCTTTTTTTTTACCATTATTCATGGTAGCCGTCAAAATATTTTAATGGAGTTGTTATGCTATCTGACATATTCTCTATGTCTGCTTTTGATCATATAGAAAGATTGCGTAAAAACTCACTTGGAAACAATATTATATTGAATGCATTCTGTGGCATGACTTTTAGTCAAGTAATTATTGTGTAGCCAGGTGTTGTAGAGCGAAAGCCCATAATCAGTGCAGAACAGATGCTAATGTAATGCAGTAGATAGAAAAGATGATGTAGCCATACATACATTGATGCGTTTTAGGAAATACCGCGGAGCTGGAATGCTCTTATCATACGTTAAACATATTTAAGCTTAAAATAATTCTACGGAATAATTTAGAAATTATTGTTGTGTAACTGCATAGTTTCTAATCTCATTCGATGAAAGTAGTCCTATTCAAAACGAAAACAGGAGCTATACTAGTCCATTCATTTGCTCCACTTAGGCCAAAATGCATAACAGTTTCTGGATACTCATGATACGCGTATGTAGTACCCTTCAGGGCCAATAAAAGGGGCATTATCACCACAAGAGCGTCAGGATACAGGAAGCCTCCCAATGAACGGCTATAGCCACCACCACAATAACTAATAATAGCAGTTACTACCGCAATACCTTACGGTAGGACGGACATGAAGGATCACCGGCAGCAGTAGTTACTCACGCAAACCGCTTCAAAAGGAAGAAGAAAAACGCGAAAGAAGCTGTAAGCACAGTCTGTAGAAAGACCTCATTACCGATCACCCCTTGGACAGTGGAGGCCCTCCAAAGCTGTTACAATGCAGTTGAAGATACACCCGTTACGCCGCTGTCACCGTGTTCACTTTATGGTCTCTAATGTTATCACTGGAATAACCCGGCAATGAGTGCTAAAACAAATATTACTACAATTAATAACAACGTCACTTATCTTCTAGTAATAACGGTAGTTGATAACATTAATAAGATTAGTGTCTAGTCATATTATGCAACCTTCGATTGATATCCGGCCGTAACATACATTCTGGACACTTTCGTACCAAAATACTAGGCCTTGCAATTTTAAACGAAGACCTACTTTTTATTGCTATCATTTGGAATAAAGCATCCTAATGGATATAGCCTATTATGAGGAAACGTTTCAACCTAAAGGCATATTAAGGATATTACACGTAGTATTTTTGAAGAAAGAATATAGTAGTAGATCCTCTGTTTACGATTTTGCATGGAAACACTTGAAGTACATGCTTGTATAAAATGCTTAAGTTCCGTTTGTAACCCTCTCATCAGTATTACTAACTAGGTACAAGGGGGCTTTTCAAGTTCGAAAATCCGAACGACTGCCGTACGATTAATTTCCAGTCTACAGAAAACTAATCGAAGGAAACTTGTAATTTCTTGCTGAGAGCTCCGAACTCTATCAAACAGTAAATACATGAAAAATCTGGATTTGAAAAATCTTGTCGATATTTTACTTGCAAGCAAATTCAAGGGACGAAGATATCCTCAACTTAAAAGGATTTCAAGGAAATCAGTGGAAACCAACACTACGGTGTGCCAAGGGAGAAATAACGTCAACGACGTCTTTGCTAACAACATGCACCTAAATCCCCAACATAAATGTAAAAACACATGAGACACAGAGCATTATTTTAGTGCAACACAAGTGTTGGCATAATTAAAATGTGTTATGTGACTTATTGGCTTAGATCGAATGTACTTTAAAGAAGCTATTGTAAAAAAAAAAAGTACACACAGCTTGTGAATGCTGTACGAACTTTCGTCGCATACAAACGCTGGTTTGGTCTAGTCTCTTTCACTCTATAGAGCTAGAACTTACCTTGTTGAAAAAAATTTCGTAACCTAAAAGGCTCAAAACCTCTGTAAATTTGTGCTCCTTGTTAAGGGTTACCGGCTTCTGTAACATGGTGTTTCCACAGATACATCAACAGTGACCGCAATATCCAAAATAAAAGGCTTGCATCCTCTCAAAGCTCAAATAGAAGGGGTTCGACTGACGTGTTTCGTAAAAACATTTTTATTTTTGTGAAAGCTTTTATTCGTATATTCCGCTTCAACATATAATAGATACGACGACACAAACTGCAGAAGCCATTCTGCCGCAGGCCACAAACAACGACTTCTTGAAGGCGGGCGTTTACTCACTTATGTCGCATCATCAGAGGGAACTGAACCTTCTTGGGAGTGCGCATTTTGCAGCGCCTCCTCAGCGCAGAAATTCCGCCTTAACTAAATCAACAGTTTTTCACATAAATATTTTGACTAAGGTTGTTTACTGACACAGGAAGAATAGCATATATTGGTCACACTAACTGCTGTCCTCAATGCTCCTGCGTCTGTTAACACCAGGACAATCGACTAAGAGGCTAGCGAAATCCTGGACTGTCTGCATTAGCAATCCATAACGGATCATCAGCCTCTTCCTGGCACTTTCAGAGAAAGGCGAGAAATGGGAGAGTGGCTGTAGCCAGTTACTCTACGGCCATCATAGTCGGTCGAATAGACAAGGTAACTCAATGCAAGCCAGTTCTTTCTTCTAATGCTTGTCAGCGTACATTACTGATAACGCTCCCCCTCCCCCCCCCTTCCCCTCCAATTATCTTATGATACACGTCCTTTAACGGGAACGAACGCCTTTTATGCTCGTCAGTGAGACAGGTATTCATCGTACGGGTTGAAGCCTAGTTTCCTTTTTCCTCTCAGTGTCGGCGTTGGATAGAGTCGAAATCTCGGTGCCGTCTAAAGTTCGCTTTATCGACCTCACAACGATACCGATGATGTAACTACGC